AAGCCCTCTCGCCTCTGATCCTACGAGCCAGCTGAATGTCCTTGGGCATAATGGTGACCCTCTTAGCGTGAATGGCGCAGAGGTTGGTGTCCTCAAACAGACCCACCAAGTAGGCCTCCGCCGCCTCTTGCAACGCCGCCACGGCGCTGCTCTGGAACCGGAGATCGGTCTTGAAGTCCTGAGCAATCTCCCTCACAAGCCTCTGAAATGGAAGCTTGCGGATCAAGAGCTCAGTGCTCTTCTGGTACTTTCTGATCTCCCTCAGGGCCACAGTTCCTGGCCTGAAACGGTGAGGCTTCTTCACCCCTCCGGTCGCCGGAGCTGACTTCCGGGCAGCCTTTGTGGCCAGCTGCTTGCGTGGAGCCTTGCCTCCGGTGGACTTGCGAGCAGTCTGCTTGGTACGGGCCATTTTCTCAGATGTGAAAGAATGGAGGATTTGGGTGTTTGGTTAGTGGGAAATTGAGAGAAAGAGAAGTATTATATGAACTTGCGATTTGGAGAAGTTTTGTTGGGTTTTATTTATAGAGTGAGTAAGCGGGGAGTTTGAAATTTTGGTGAAATTTTTTTAAAATTTTGGATGAGTGAAGATTGAGCGTTGATACGTATTTGATCGACGGCAGATATTCTTTGTTGTTGTGTGGAGGGGATAGCAATCCGCGTGCTCTTCAAGTGGACCAATAGAATTGGTTTGTTATAGCGGCAATGATATATTTCAAGCTCAACCCCCCTTTCAATTTTTAAGTTCCCGGCTTAATGAAAGTTGGGCTTCCTTTCAAAAATAAATAAAGTTGGGCTTTCTTCCGATTGAAAATTTGAAATTTGGGCTTCTTTTAAAATGAAATTGACTAGACCCAAATTTGTAAAGGCCATAAGGAGATGGATTCAATTGAACATGTGCGATTACAATTTTACCCAAACCGGGGGAAGGAAAATATTTGGTTACTTATTCTCAACCAGATTAGTTTCTTCTTTTCTCTTTAATCATACATTGTCAAAACATGATTGTAATTACTTGTTGATGGCTACGTTATCATGATTATATCCTTTTCCACACTAAACGAGATCGACTGCGTAAATACTTCTCTTCCATTACTGATTATTATATCAATATTTTACGTGGTGTAACCGTCACATGTAATACTACTCATTTCGTTTTAGTTCCCATCTATCTCCGAAAGACTGAAAAACAAGAAGCCTCCTCCTCTGCAACTTTTCTTCTCTTGCTTTTTGAAGCAACCTCATTGGCTGAACTCTTTATTCGGTCGTTTTCTTATTCATTTTTGTAGGGTTTAGTTGTTCTCCACTTGACATTGTGAAAGATCTGAGAGCTTCCACACTTTTCAAGTTAGCCTTTTTGTACTGCATTAGTGGAGTAAATGTTGAATTAATGTAACATAAATTTATATTATTTCATGTTAAACATATATAGGAGAGGCTAATTGGTATGTAGTAGGACATTGACATGTCGCTTTAGAAGCAAAAAAGAAGCAAAAAAGAAGCAAAAAGCTGCCCAATTAAGCTACCAAATTAACCAACTTTATAGAAAAAGGGCTGAAAAGTTGGTAAAACTCTGAAGAAATTGTGCTGACCTTTCAGATCACTTTTATCATAATAAGCAGACAAGAGTGTCTAATTCAGGGGTCAATATAATCAAGGATTAAGACTATGAAATAATTGACATTTTGTTTTACTAACTCAGCTTAACTAATCTAATCTACCACTTAATTAGCACATGAGTCATAATTGACATTTTTGCATATGATCCTAATGAAACACAAGGGCTGCTACCTGCCCTATCTACCCTGTACTAACTGAATACTAAGTCAATTTTTTCCCCCAAAATAGAATTTGAAAAGAGTGCTGTTATTTCCACTCTCTGTCCTATTTCCTCACTCACCATGTAAATTTGGAAAAACACAATCCTATCTTTCCACTCACTATTATTCCTAAAATATTCTTTAATTATTAATTCAAGTAAATTATCTTTTCTAATCATTAATAGTTGAGATATAGAGAGGATTAGGTTGTGTTTGATGGACTGAAAAAAGTTTCAAATTTTGAAAAAGACAATGCTTACTTTTGTATATAAGCTCTCAAAAGATTCAAATTAGAAACATGCTAATAGGTCAGATTAATTCTTAATCATTTCCTTAACCTAAAGTAATTAAGGTGATTTGATTGCAAAGCTAATTGGTAGCAGGCAGCAATGCCTCGTCAACTTGTATGAAAACAATGAACGATATTGACAAGGCAATCAAAATCAACTGTAAGGCATGCATGAAGACAGCTATATATATGGACAAATAAGAAAAAGTGTATAAATATTATATAAACATTATAAGAAGAAAAAGAAACAAAACAACAAGTGCAAACGTAGCTTAATTTGTTTCACAAGAACTACAACAACAGAAAGAACAACGTGGATCCCCACAAAGAATATTAATAGTAAATTTGATAATAAATATGATACATCGCTAACTAACGTTATTGGCCGAGACCTTCGGTGTGCTCCCAAGTAATTCAGAGTTCAAATCGTGTGTGTGAGTTTTCCACTCTCCTCCTTTAGGAAAAAGAAACATTCATATAAATATATAAGGCTTGGTTTATAAAGTATTGGTGTATGATCAAATTAAGAAAAAAACAATTAAGGTGATATGCTCGAATCCGCTTTTACTAGGATCAAACAACCAAAACAGGACAAAATCCAAGCATCATACGAGGAGGCGGCCTGCTGCTTGCTTTAACAACTTTGTGAAAAGAATATATACTTGTTATGGCAGACTAAATGTGTACCATATTATATATATATATATGTATGCACATTGCACAAAGTGATAGAGAGCCTCTGGATCTGAAGCCTGGAGGTGTTTAGATTGTGGTGGGCATTTGGCTGCAATAATATTTGCTGTATACTTGTTGCTTGGGTTATTTGGTTGCATCTTTAATTAGCTGTTCTTATTATATTCCTTCTGGCGCAGGGTGAAAGAGACCAGAGGCGAGCTCTCTTTGTTTCTTTCACTCAATGCTAGCTGGCTTCGGGAGAAAAAGAGACTGTATCCCACAATATTGAGAAAAACTTACATACACAGGGAATAATACTATGTCAGTCACGTATTATTATGTGTTTGTGATTGACTTGGAATACCACCACAATGACATTCCCGTTAGATAAAGTTCTTCTCCCCAATCAAGAGTTAGAATCTAATATAAGATTGTACTCACCCAGCCAATGAAACAATGTCGATGTAAAAATCAATGCGTACGAGTTCTATTATGTAAGAGGGTAAAATGTCATATTATGTAAAGTACAAACTACAAACTTATGTTGGGGGCAACATGATGGTACGAGTTCTATTATGTAAAGAGGGTAAAATGTCATATTAGCTCATTAAAGGAGAATAATATATGAGCTAATACTGATCATTTTAACCCTAAGATATTTGAGTTCATATATTAATAGCAATCACTCAATCTATTTATTCACTTCCTATGTGACCCGTACATCGTCATTTTTCTTTAACTTAGAAGAAAAGGAGGATAAGAGTCGAGCTCCTTTATTGGTGTGAAGATATATGAGACGGGATGGAAGATTCAAACTCCAAACATTTTCCAACATTGAAAAGTGAAATACCATTTATGCCAAAAACTAGTTGATTAAGAGTCATCGCCTTTAGGTCTACCACTTTTAGGTTTTATATGTGACTACTTCATCTCATAAGTCCTATCATGTCTTTACCATGTTGGATTTTGTCACACCACATTGTACTCATAGGGATGCCAATCAACTGCATGTGTCAAGTTCTAATTAATTCAAACCCAACTTGTTTAACTTCTCATGTTAGATAACCTAGAAACTAATTCAACAATTTATCATTGAAGTGTAGCTATCCACCTGCTCCCACTCCAAGATTTACAGATTTTATTGTGTGCTTAAAAACATTTGTTTCCACGTATTTATTTTCGAGAAAGATTACTAAATTTGTGATTGATTTAGCAATAATTCTCAAACTAATTAAGTGGATTAAAGAAAGGAAGAAATCACTTTTTGCATGTGTGGAGGTTGACAAACCACACTAGCTTTTGGGTGGGTGGTTGGTGATCAGAAAGCTAATCTCACTAAAAATATTTTTCTTTAACAAAAGCACTTACATGAAACATCGAACTCAACGTTAAAAATTTCCTAAAACCCACATGGAATTCCTTTTTCCAAAATACAAAAAGATCAAGGCATTAGCTTTTCTTCCTCCATGCCCAATGCCCATGACGTCCAACAACATTGAAATGGAGCATGGGCAGTTTGGTAAATCTACTGGTAATGAAGGGGGAGAGGAGGAGGAAAACCCATTTGGTCCCCGCTGTAGCACCACCAGGCTTTACAAGATTCACTCATTACAGAAAAAGCAAGACAATGAGTGTTTGGAAGGTTTTGGATATTTTCTGTCCCCATTCCCCTACTCCCTTTCGGCCCTTGGACAGCTCAGAAATTGTTTCGCATAGACCAAACTATCCTCTTCTCATAAACTAATTCCAATAGCAAGAGGCATGTAGCTCAAGTAGTTAAAGAGCAATCACCCTTTGCACTCGAGGTCCTGTGTTCGAATTCTCCTTCCCTCAATATGTCTCGTATAAGAAAAACACAAACTAATTCCACCACACCCAGAAAAAGGTTTTTTCAACCCAATTTGAATTCCTTGACCTTTTGAAAGAAAAGAAGCATGTGCAATCGATATGCACATGAACTTTGAGAGACCAACAACAATTGCTATGATTACATAGAGGATTTTCAGAATTAAAGTGGGCATGTCCATCATTTTGAAAATTTTGATATGGTAGTGGAAGAACATCTTCTAATACTAGCACCAAGCAATCATGTCATGTGCTCACAGTAGTACCACCACCTCATGTTGGGTTGCATGGTTATTTTAAGAAACTAGGGGCATTTTGGTCATCTCGGTTTATACTGAAACCATGCTTGAGAATTACCCCGTCTCTCTCTCTCTCTCTGCTTCACATGCTCTCATTCCACCAAATCCATTAAGAACCAAGACAAAAGCTCATTGGCTTTAGCCCTTAGGCTCTCTCTCTCTCTCTCTCTCTCTCTCTCTCTCTCTCTTGGTTTTCCAAGATTCTACTGTAGATATGATTTTCCTCTCTGCAAATCAAATCCAAGCGTTGTATACCCACTTGTTAACGCTCTTAGTTCTTTTCTCTCCTTGAACAAATTCACAGCTCTTGCTTTGTTCTACCCCCTGGTTGTATATGCTCTGTTCTTTTCTCTGTTTTTCATGGCTGCTTTTACTACAGATGGCAAAAAATTTCAGGACCAAGAGAGTAATAATAACAGTATCAAAAATGAAGTTAGCAGGCAAGAAATTCAAGCTGCCATTGCCAAAGCAGTGGAGCTGAGAGCTCTTCATGCTGCTTTGGTGCAAGGAAGCAGCCCTGCAAATCTCAGGTTTCCTTCTTCTTCCCCTGCCTCACGCCCTGCTTCTCAGTTCTCTGCTCAAGACTACCCTGTTTTCACACCTGTAAGTGCAAATTTCCAGCCATGCTTCATTTTTACTCTGTAGTTTGGTATTTTCTCTGTTTTCTTTATTATTGTGAGACAATTTATTCTTTGTTTTCAATGTCCATTTGCATTACTTTAGATGTAGTTTCAGTTCCCATTATAGTTTGACCTCTACCTAGTAAGCTTTCAATATTTTTTTTTATTACAGAACTAATTAATGTAAAGACACATTTCTTTTTTTTTCTTTTTTTTGCGGATATAATCTTTCTGTGGTTCAATTCAATGTGTCTCCGGAATTTTCTATTGTTTACTAATTAATGCATTTTTCCCCTTATCATCAAGTTGGTTCTTTGGTTGGAAGTTTGTTACTTCTAGTGAAATCAAATACATAATGTGTAATTTGTGGTTTCTGAAATACTGGAAAAGTTCACTAAATTTTGAGGTATTTTACAGAGTTATGAAGATGAACCATTACCTGGGTACCATCATGTTCCAACGATGAATCGAACATTATCTGAAAGTTGGGATGAATATGGCCTAGAAGAAGGCAATGGGGATGAAGCAGTTCTATCAAGTTACAAGGACAACTCATCTTCAAGAAAAGGGTTTCCTTCTGACTTAGCCAACTTTGAGTCCCATGCTTGCCCAGCTGAGGATCATAAATCTGTGACTGGCTCATGTACGAACCAAATCACTGTGCTTCAAACATCACCTGCTAACGAGTTCTACAGGTCAAGTAGGAGAAATAGTTTGGGGGATTTCAACTCACTGTCATCTTGTAATAGATGCAAGCCTGCAATTATAACCAGCGAATCGGAAAATGGAATGAGAAACTGCAGGAATTCTAATACTGTTGTGCCATTAACAGATTCTCATTCATCCGTTCAGTCACAGCCAAAAAGCCGGAGTGTGATTTCATGGTTGTTTCCAAGGCTAAGGAAGAAGCATAGGAATGAAAGTTCTCCGAACCGAACAGAATCCGAAGAAGTTTCCCAAGTTTATAGGGACTTGGGGATAATGTCAATTGAGACATTGAAGAAGGAGCTCATACAAGCAAATGAGAATAGAGATGCAGCCTTAATGGAGGTTTCTGAGATGAAATCTTCAGTGGGGGAGCTGAAACAGAAACTGGACTATTTGGAAACTTACTGTGAAGAGCTGAAGAGAGCTCTAAGACAAGCAACACATGCTAAGAGTTGCCAAACCCCGGAAAAGCTGGGGAATTTTCCAAAGAGAGGAAAATCCAATGATGGGAATGCAGAAAACTTAATGCCGGTCAGCGAGGAAGTAATGGTGGAAGGTTTCTTGCAGATAGTATCAGAAGCAAGACTGTCAGTAAAACAATTCTGCAAGATCCTTGTAGCACAAATTGAAGTAACAGATAACACCCTGGTGGACAATTTGAATATGCTTCTCCAACCATTTAAATTGTCATTAAGTTCCAAGTACTCCAAGGCAGTTTTGTACCATTTGGAAGCCATCATAAACCAGTCACTCTACCAAGACTTTGAAAACTGTGTGTTTCAGAAGAATGGCTCTCCAAAGCTTCTAGACCCTCAACAAGCTTGCCAAGCACAGTTTTCATCATTTGTGGCTCTTAGAAATTTGAGCTGGAATGAAGTGTTAAGGAAGGGAACAAAGTATTATTGTGAGGAATTCAGTAAGTTTTGTGATCAGAAGATGAGTTGCATCATTACAACACTAAATTGGACTCGGCCATGGCCTGAGCAGGTTCTTCAAGCATTCTTTGTCGCTACCAAATGCATTTGGTTGCTTCATTTGCTTGCGTTTTCATTCAATCCACCGCTAGGAATTTTGAGGGTCGAAGAGAATAGGAGCTTTGATCCACATTACATGGAAGACATGTTCATGGATAGGCAGAGATCGCATGGTTCAAGCCGAGTTAAGATTATGGTAATGCCAGGGTTTTATGTTCAGGACAAGGTTTTAAGGGGTAAAGTTCTTTGCAGGTACAAGTCTGCTGGTTCAATAAGTTGACTCTTTTTCTTTGTTTATAAAGTCTTTATTAGGATTTTTTTTTTCCCCTTTCTAAGGGTTATCTAATCAACAAGAGAAGCATGTAACTTTGATGTTTATATTTCATTAATTGTTCAAAGGGTTTCTTCCATTGAAAGAAGTAGAGAAGTTTCCTATTTTGTTTTTCATCATGTCTCCTTTGGTATATTTATCTAGTAAATGTTTTTCTTTTCTTTCTTTTCTTCTATTAAATGCTTGGAAGAGACAAAGGAAACAAGGAAAATGGGATTAACGTACATAGGCACAAGAATCAACTGGCAATAGCTTCCACTTTCAAATATAAAAAGATGACTTGTATTTTTTGAATGGTTGCCCTGCATCTCCCAGGACATGTTAATTAACTGAGACATGATTTCAAAAAAATATAAAAGTACCCACAGTATCTATGTGTACAGTGTATTGCAGATTTTGTTCTTTTCATTTTCTCATACGTTCACCATTTTCCTATTTCTTACTGCGCGCTTGGTCCGTGTTCTTATACACACATACATGAGAGGAGGAATAGCACACGTGTGGAATGCATGAAGAGAGCTTCTAGGCAGAACACCAATCGTCCAAGAGTAACAACAATGCGTGTTATTCATGGATCCTGAAGAACACACTATTATGATCCATTTTTTATGGTTGCAAAGCATATAGAATAATTGTTCTATTAAAACTTCATCTCAAAATTTCAGTCACCGACAACATTTTGACTAAAAAAAAGGGAAGAAGACTCCTAACTAGTTTTCTGTGACGGCACGCATATGTTAATCCCATAGACAAGAGAGACGCTGGATTTATGCATTACCATTGAACCCTCGCCGCCTTAGACATGCCATCCATCAAATAACGCTCAGTGCAGCCATCACTCATGAATTTACTTTCACTTTCTTCATCAGCTGTATGAATTCCTTAAAAGCTGCAGAAAAAATTTCCTCAAACTAAATATCATTTTCGTAATGTAATTTTATGCAAATGTAATCATTATAAAGAAATAGTGCAGGGTGTTAGGCTGGAAAGTAGCTAGGAAGAAGCAACAGGGGAAAAACCACTTATGCTAGAGGTCTACCTTCACCTTTCAGTTGGTGATGAAATTCCTAGATTTCCTATGAAGGTTGCATATCTCTAGGAATGATCTGATACAGTTGGTATTGGTGCAAGCACCTACCATAGTTGATAGTAGTAAATTTAATATTTATTTATCAATCTGTAGAAACACGTCACATACCATAGTCCGAATCATGGGGTCCTGGGGATGCTTCAGGGTGGTACTGAATAGACATGATGTTTTGTGCAGGATAGGCAAGACCAGCACAGCTTCCATCGTTAAGATTGACATGAGTTACTTCTACACCCTCTGGAAGTGACGAAGAGTCAACTGCATAGTTGTGATTCTGCCACAAAATGAAAGTCATAAAAGGTTCATACATGTTCATTACCTTAATGTAACTAATAAGAAAAAACCAGCACAATGATCTGAAGACCCACTTCAGGATGTCAGTTCATTTCTTTCAAATTTATTAAGCATAAAAAGACTTCAAAACTACCACATTCTATGTCATCAAAAGTCAAAAACTTATAAGACATACACACCTGAGCGCTTATCTCAACATGTCCGCTACGAAGATTACGGACTGGATGATTTCCTCCATGGTGGCCAAACTTCATTTTAAAAGTTTTACCACCTAATGCCAAGCCAAGCAACTGATGACCCATGCAGATTCCAAAAGCAGGAACCCTTCCAATGATCTCCTTAACTGTTTCAACAGCATAAGGAATAGCAGATGGGTCTCCAGGGCCATTGCTGAAAAGGACCCCATCTGGTTTCATCTTAAGAGTCTCTGATGCGGGCCATGTTGAAGGCACAACAGTAATTTTACAACCATAGGAAGCCAAGCGCTTGAGTATATTATGCTTGATTCCAAAATCATATGCTATAACCTACAATTCATACCCATACAGAGAAGAAAAAGAGTCACTTAAAACCGAACTACCAACATCAGGCCGATACCAATCCATTATCAAACATGTCTGCTTTTTGTTTTAATTTGAAGAAATAAAGGGGAGAGAAATGAGAAATGAGAGCTGAAGAAGAGAGAAAGAATAACAGATAACTTTAGAACTAAAAACCATTTATGGCTGTTTCTAGTTCTTATTTCAAAACTCTCACTCACTCACTCTCTCTCTCTCTCTCTCTCTCTCTCTCTCTCTCTCTCTCTCTCTCTCTCTCTCTCTCTCTCTCTCTCTCTCTCTCTCTCTCTCTCTCTCTCTCTCTCTCTCTCTCTCTCTCTCTCTCTCTCTCTCTCTCTCTCTCTCTCTCTCTCTCTCTCTCTCTCTCTCTCTCTCTCTCTCTCTCTCTCTCTCTCTCTCTCTCTCTCTCTCTCTCTCTCTCTCTCTCTCTCTCTCTCTCTCTCTCTCTCTCTCTCTCTCTCTCTCTCTCTCTCTCTCTCTCTCTCTCTCTCTCTCTCTCTCTCTCTCTCTCTCTCTCTCTCTCTCTCTCTCTCTCTCTCTCTCTCTCTCTCTCTCTCTCTCTCTCTCTCTCTCTCTCTCTCTCTCTCTCTCTCTCTCTCTCTCTCTCTCTCTCTCTCTCTCTCTCTCTCTCTCTCTCTCTCTCTCTCTCTCTCTCTCTCTCTCTCTCTCTCTCTCTCTCTCTCTCTCTCTCTCTCTCTCTCTCTCTCTCTCTCTCTCTCTCTCTCTCTCTCTCTTCAAAACAAAAGGCAAAACTGTTATCTGGCAGTAATTTAAAAGTAACTTAACGCTGACTTACACGGAATGCCTCTCCACCTCTTTTACTGGAGTTAAATTCCCACTCTGGATTTGTTTTATCAACCCAATCATGAGGGGCCTTACATGACACACCACTTATTAAATCAACCCCTGCAAAATTAAAATAAGAAACCATGGATTTTTAATCCTTTCCCTTGTTTAACTAACTCAATGAAATCCTTACCAACAATGTCCCACGAACGAGACATTTCCAATAGTTCTTCATCTGTTTTTGTCCTTTCTGTGCTCAAAACACCAATAAGGCTGCCATCTTGCCTTAATCTTCGGGTGATAGCACGTGTGTCAACATCATCTGTTGCATAATCAGTCAGCATCAATAGCAAAAGTCAGAATTTATACATATACAGCATAGGACACCTACACACATGATTCTGCAAAATCTAAGTGCCTTAAGGAATAATGTCATTGTTTAACTTACAAATTCCCATGATATTCCTTTCTGCTAAATAATCACCAAGTGTTTCTGCACATCTCCAATTTGAAGTACTGCAAAACAGGAAACAGAAAAAGTTCATTGGAACTGAATGGAGCTCAACCAGTGAAGTTGCTGATGCCAATTTTTCTACAGCAGTACTAGAAGGAAGCATACTTGATACTTAAACTTCTAACCACTAGACCAGCAAGGAAGCATTGCCTTGATTCTTGATCATCTGATAGGGAAGGCATCAACATCAGAATTCAACATATTAAAAGACAATATAATTTTCAAAACTTAAGAAAGAACACTCCACCTACCAAAATTTACACCAGTATTTCCAATATGTGGGTTTGTCATGAGAACAAATTGTCCAGCATAACTAGGGTCTGTAAGAATTTCTTGATACCTGTGTAAACATGTAGAATGCCCATATATCAGACTCGTATGATCATGCTGAACTCATCAACTCTTGAACATTGATGCCCAACCAAGGATGAGGTAACTACTTCCATTACTTCAAGCACTAGATTCCTTTAACCAATGTTTGATTAACATCACTCTCAAATGGGACAAAGGCGGGAGCTGTATGAAGTTTCATATAATCTCCTACATTGTACTTAGACAGCTCAGGAAGTCTAACTAATACTTATTTAGTTAATATACTGCCTCAAGCCCAAAAGAGAGGGCCCATAGTCAAAGGTTTCAAAATCCTTATACTGAACACTGAAAGGTTTATTCTTACCAAAAAAATAATAATTGAAAAGGTTATATAGCAAGTCCCACAAACACAAAGAATCCAACATGACAGTTGACATGTTAAGATAAATTGGGGGGAAATACAAAATTATGAGTCATCCCACCCGGTCAAGGATGTATTGAATACAACTTCACCAACTTGGGTCCCTGAAGCACCAAACGACTTTGCTCTCCAGATTGAACCATCTTCAAGCACAAGTCTAGCATCTGAAGTCTTCCAAGGTATTTCTGCCAAATCTAAAGCCAAAGAAGTAAATAAAGTACAGAAAATGAGAATTTTTTTATGAAACAAATCTAAACCTGTATTATCAAGAATAACAACATTTAACATTATATAACGTGGGAATTCATTTTATTTATCAAATGTAAGATAAGGGGCAGAAAAAGCAAAAGGGTTGGGATATTAGTGTTGATTGTTTATTCATCTAAAAGATGAATGCTGAGCCTAAGAACAAGAATTACATAGCTGAATGACTTTATGGGGGTGTTTGAAGTTTTAACAAAATAAACCCATCATTTTGTTTTTTTTTATTTTGTTTCTTCTTTTCAAATTCTTGGACATAAAACTGAATTCCAATGGCACCCAAACAACTTGCTCTTCAAAAACATTCATGCACACTAATCCAATGTATTGGGCAATTGGTACAATGGGAGAAAAAAATAGAAACGATAAAGGGAAATAAGAGAAGTAGTAGCAGAAGTACCAGTGACCGCGGTTGAGGTGGCGGAGGAGCATCTGAGAGTGAAAGCTCTAAGCTTTGAAGGGTTCGGAGACTTGGGATGAAATAAAGTCGATGGATTTATTAGAGCTAAGTTGATAGCTACTGTAATGGCCATTCTCCTCTCTCTGTTGCGGGGCAGTGGCTTCTCGTCTGAGTTTCAGAGAGAGCTAACAGAGACTACAAATGATACTTATAGCCGGTTCGGGTTCCAACTCGGTCTCCGGCGGGTTTTGAGAAAAAAGGAAGGTGTTTTCCAACTCGGTCTCCTACATTTGGACGTTGGACTCGGGTTTCGACCCTCATTTTTGGCCGTGCTCGGAGTCACTCCACTTGCTGAATTTGTTTTGGGCTAAAGAGAAATGTTAACCCCATTTGGACTAAGACATAACTTTTACTTGTTCAAGTAACAATTAAGATGGAGTAGGAAAAAGGTTAGTAAGATACTGGACGGAAAGCCAACGGGTCCAGCCCAATGAAGAATAACATTGACTTGCAGATTAGTAAGATAGTGGACAGAAAGTTAATGGGTTTAACAATACGATGACAAATTCAGCCATTATATTATATTTTAAGTATTTAAATTTAAATTTTTTTAATGCATAGTCTTTTTATTCAATAATTTGTGAAAAATATTACCCATATTAATAAATAAAAATTAGTATAAAATATGTGAATTAAACATGAGGAATACGTATGTACATAAATAGTACATGTATAATATGTTTGATTTTAAAAATGTGTATTTTACCATATCTTTGAGAATTTGACAAAAAATAAACATCTTTTTATGTGTATAATGCGCCTAATATATGCGAAGTTACTAACCAAGGATGCCATAGCATTCCCCTCCCCTGGTTCATATTTCAGGAGAGAAGAAATAAAGCCATTAAGATTTAAGAGACCTTAGGACGGTGTGGAGTGGACCTCTTCCTTTATTTCATGAATGGCTCATCACAGGATTTTGACAAACCTCTTCTGAACAAAGGCTTGAATTATTGTTTCGAACGTGAGGCTGTGGAATTGCAGGAAAAGTATCTAATATCCATGCATCAAGTCCTTTTGCTGGTACATGACACAGGACTTCTATCACTATTATTGTTGATCTTGACATATCAAGAACCAAAACATGCAAAGCCATTAACGTTAGCCACCATTGCAATCGATGCAAGGATGGACTCAGAATTTTAAAATGGGATGGGTTAAATTTACCGTATCTACGTACTGAAAAGTGGAACATAAAGGTGCAACAACTGCAGCGTACCAATTCATTCTTTTATTTATTTATTTATTTTCACTTAAAGGGATTATGTGTGATGAGTTTATAATGAGAATATTTCAGTCTTTTTGATTTTATCAGTGAAAGAAAAATTAGCAGTAAGTTGTTCATACAAAAATAAAAAAATATAAATATAAATAAAAAGAGGTTGTTAGTAAGCTAAAAAAGTAAGAATAAGACGGAAATACTTTTCATTTTAGAGATAACTTTACAGAGATGTCTTACACAAGAATGTCCAAGAATAGTCCAAGAGAATTCATCAATTCATTAGTTTTTCTTATCTTCTTTTTCTTAAGTGTATTATTGGATGAGCGATGGCATGATTGTCATTAGTAAGCATGGGTGGGGTAAATTAAATTTTTGGCTGATAAAATAACAACTAACCTGGGCTATAGCCCAGGTCAGTCCTTCTAGGAACCATCCCTGAACCGATGTGTTGAACTTGAAATGGCAAGAACCTGTGCGGACCATTATTTGCCATCTTTCCTAACACGTGTAGGATTGTTCTACCTCTAAATATGTTAAATGCTCGTCAGGAGAGGCCCTGGCCAAAAGCAGGCAGGGTGGCCCTGCCCAATTTGTATAATACCCTATACTTACCTATATTATTTTTTAAAAATTATATTATATAAATATTATGAGTCCAATTTTCATGTTACCAAATGTCCTGTGACCCCTCTTTCTCTCATAGCTTTTTGACATCTGGCAAACCACTTAACAGTACTTTACTTTTAACTTGTTAACTCTGTCAAGTCCAACTCCCATCATCTAGGGTTTAGGAAACTGCTCTCTTAGAAGCACCAAAATCTGCATTGAGGCCCAGATATCTTCCAAAACCCTCATTCTGCTGCACCTTCAGAAAGTCCACTGCTTTTCGTCGTATTCGAGCAGGGCAGTTTGACGATGTGCGTAAGAAAATTGGCTCGAAATTGATGGGTTGGTCGGAACAGTTTTTATCGCAAGCGGGTAAGGAAATCCTTATTAAGGCAGTGGCAATGGCAATGCCCAATTACGCCATGTCATGTTTCAAGCTACCTGTAAGCTTATGCAAGGAGATTGAGAAGGATATTGCAAGATATTGGTGGAACAGCAACAAGGAACGAAAGGGTATTCATTGGGTTAGTTGGCAGCGGCTGAGCTTGCTAAAATATGCTGGTGGACTGGGATTTCGTGATTTGATTTGCTTTAATTTAGCTATGTTAGCTAAAATTGGGTGGCGAATTGTACAGCATCCTGAGTCACTATTGGCGCATGTTCTACATGATAAGTATCATTATGGTTTGAATTTTTTGGAGGCGGTTTGCAGCAGAGGTTCTTCCTGGGGCTGGAAAGGAATTATCCAAGGCCGTAAGGTGCTTGAGGCTGGGCTGAGGTGGAGAATTGGAAATGGGGAGTCTGTGCATATTAGTGATGATGGGTGGCTGCCCCGACCGTATACTTTTAAGGCTCTCTCCAGACATCCGGAAATGCCTCAACGTGTGATGGAACTTATTGAACCAGAGGTCAAAATATGGCGGAGTGATCTAATCCAACAATACTTTAATCCTGAGGAGGCCCAACTCATTCTAACCATGGTCATTAGCCGATGGGGCTGTCCTGATAGACGGATATGGCACTTTACAAAACATGGGAGGTATACCGTTAAGTCTGGTTACGACTTGGCAGTCAAGTTGAGAAGAAATGGAGTGGGAGGCCAGAAAGGAGAGGGTGAATGCAGCAATCAAAGTGGACAAGGTGGTCCATGGAAACGTATTTGGGCCTTGCAAGTGCCTCCCAAAATACGGATGTTCATCTGGCGGTGCTGCAGAAATGTGCTAGCTGTCCGTGAGAACCTCCGACGACGGCGTGTCGATGTGGAGGCTGACTGTCCACTGTGCGGTGATAATGGTGAAACTGAGGTCCACTTGTTTTTTCGTTGTGAAATAGCCAGACTATTTTGGTTTGCGACCCCTTTACAATTAGATGTGCTTGGTGTAGAAGGAGAAGATTTCCTGAGTTGTTGGGAGTGTTTGCTCCAGAAGTTTGCTCAGGTTGATCAGATTGATGAGATCCTTCAAATTGTGGCTTTTGGATTGTGGAGAATTTGGAAAGGAAGGAATGCGGTAGTGTTTGAAAGACAGACCTTGGACCCCATAGATTTGGTGAGGTGTTTGCGCATGCAGACTAATGAATATCGGGGGGCTCACTCGGCAACCATGGTGCTTAGGAGTGAACTGGTAAGACCACCAGACGTAACCTGTCCCCCAAGGAGAACTTGGCAGAAGCCCCTCCCCGGATCTGTTAAAGCTAACTGTGATGGGGCTTGGGTGGCACAAACGAAGAGGGGCGGGGTTGGTTGGGTTATCCGGTCTGAGTGGGGTGAGCTATTGCGAGCAGGTGGGCGAAGGATTGCTTGGTGTGGTACAGCACTTGCGGCCGAAGCGGAGGCTATACGAGATACGTTGGGTATTTGTCTGCATAATGGGTTTTTGAGCTTAGAAGTAGAGTCTGATTCACAAGAGATTATTCGGATGATCAGGGGGGATAGTTTGAGTGCGACAGAAATAGAAGGTATACTGTTTGACATCCAAGTTCTAGTTAGACGTTTTCAGTGGGTGGAGTTTCGTCATATTCCACGTCTTTGTAACAACGCAGCACATGAGGTGGCTGCTTATTTCTTTAGAGCTGGGGGCTCTGAGGTCTGGGACCAGTCTGGCCCAGCGTGGCTCCATAGTGTTTTAGCTCTTGATGTTATTGATGCTTAGCTCTTGATTTAATAAAACTTCCAAACTTTCGACAAAAAAAAAAAAAAAAAAAAC